CTATTTCTCCAGCTCCTGTTTTTTTGGTTTTTTTTTTTTTTTTTTTTTCTTGTTGTTTTTGTTTTTCATGGAGCTTTTTATTTTTTAGTTAATTTTTTTCCTGTGGTACTGGGGATGGAACCCAGGACCTTGCACGTTAGGTAAGGCTTCTACCATGATTTATAGCCCCAACCCTTCTTGTATTTTTAAATTTTGAGGTAGGCTCTCACCACATTACCCAGGCAGGCCTTGAACTTGAAATATACCTGCCTCATTCTCCCAAGTATTGCAGACCTTTGCCACCAGGTCTGGCTTAGTATTATTTATTTATTTATTTATTTTTTTTTTATTTATTTATTTTTATTGTGTATGAATGTTTTGCCTGCATGTATGTTAATGCACCACATGCATACAATGCCCGAAGAGACCAGAAGAGGGCATTGGATCTCCTGGAACTGAAATTATAGACAGTTGTTAGCTGCTACCATGTGGGTGCTAGGAACCAAGCCCAGGTCCTCTGAAAGCGCAGCTAGTACTCTTAACCACTGAGCCATCTCTCAGGCCCTCTGGCTTAATAAAATAAAATTTTTTCTGTCTTTTTGGGACAGGGCCTCCCTGTAGTCCCAAGCTGACCTGGAACTCACTATGGAGACCAGGCTGGCCTCGATCTCAGAAATCTTCCTGCCTCTGTCTTCTGAGTGCTGGGATCAAAGGCATGTGGCACCACCCCTGGCTTTAAAAATTCCTTTTTATTGTGATAAATACATAAAATATAGAAGTTCCTCTCTTAGCTCTTTCAACTATTTTAGCCTTGAAACTCATGAAATGAGGAGAAATACTAGTGATTTTTTTTTTTACTTTGCTAAATTAATAGTTCTAATTCCTTTTTTTGGTAGGTTATTGGGGCTATTAAAGTTTAAGTCTAGTAACATTTATTTGCTATATACAAGGCATTAATCCAAATGTTTTGTTAGCCAAATTCCCATTACTGTAAAAGATACCTGAGATTTAAATGAGTTCATAAAGAAAAAAGGATTGTCTTTGCTCAGAGGTTTGATTGGTCAGCCCTGTTGCTTTGGGCCCATGGCAAGGCACTGCGTCATGGCAGGAGCTGTTATAGAGCAAAACTATTTCCTTCATGGCTGGAGAGCAAAGATAAGAAGAGAGAGGTGCCAGGGTCCCACAACCGCCCTTGAGGACATGCCTTCCACAAGGTCTGATATTTTAAAGGTTCTACCACCTTTAACAGTGCCACCCTAAGGACCAGCCTTTACCACATGGGCCTTTGGGAGACACCAAAGATGTAACTGTATCAGTGTTCTACATCGATTTTGTTTTATTTAATATATTCATTTTATTTATTTAATAGTTATTTAATATTTTATTTCATTTCAATAACACCATCCTAAGGATGCCCATTATCTCACAACTCAGGCATTATCAGAACCGTAGAGTGGGAAGGGCACCTGGGGCCTCTGATTTCGGGTAAGATCCAAGGCTAGAATTCTTCCTGAATACCTGCTGTGTGCCAGGACTTCCATGCACATCTTCCCACTGAGCCTACAAAGGAACCCGTGAGATAGATGTTCTATTTGCCACACATGGATCAGGCAGCTTTCTGAGAATGAGGCTCAGTGGCAGAGCAGTGGCATGTCCATTTAGAAGTAGTAACTCTAATGATCTTGGCCGTGGTCCATGTGGCTGAGGCAGGAACCTGAGCTCCCTTCCAGCTGTGAGGCAGGAGGGTGCAGTGGTGGCAGCTGCAAAGCTGGTGCCATACTGGGCACTGCCACTTCCGTGGCCCTGGGCAAGGCACTGACCCTTTCTGAGCTTCAGTTTCTTTATCTGCATAGACGTTATAGACCGCTCCACTTTGTCGTTTTCCTAAATAAGTCCTCTGTGCCCCACTGTGGTCTTCAGCCAGGTCCTGCCAGAGATGAGGGACACAAGACTAGGTATGTGAGATCAGAAGCTTTGTGGTGATTTGATGTTGATGTTGTGTCCAAGCACATGGTTAGATTTTTATCACTTACAAAAAGTGTTCACTACAATGAATTGGAAATTGACAGAACAAAGCAAAACTCATCTCTGTGGATGACTTGCAAAGCATGGTGCTCAGGGATCCCCTAGACTTAGCTTGAACTTATATTTCCTGCCCATGGCCCAAGCCTACCTTAAGACCTTTTCTCCTGAGCCCCTGACTCTAGCACTGGGTTTCTCTGGCCTCTCAAACACCTGAGCACATGCCTGCCTCTGTTCCCTTTGTCTAGAAGGTTCTCCTGTCCTAGAAGAGCAGGCTCCCATGTGGGGATTCAGCTGCCTGTGCCATCTTCTGGGAGAGGTTTCTCCCATGCCCTCATCTGGGATCTGATCTGCCCCAGAACCCTTGTGCCAATAAGCCTGGGCTGTGTGTTAGTTGTGGGCTCCTACTGGGAGGAGGCCCATGGTCTCCCCAGTTCCTTAGTATGCTTTAAACCAGACAGGGCCAAGAGCTACAAGAGTGGGCTGGATGCCCGTGTCCAGGTTTTCATGAGGTAACAAGCCGGTGGACATCAAGTTCACTTGAAGTGTTAGCCCTGGTTTCTGCCCCTTCAATCCTGCTTCTGCACTACCACCATGCCAACACTGAGGGCCACCTGTGTCTTCTTTATGGCCCCTGTAGCGGGTCCCAACCTCACCCAGGTGAATATTCCAGGAGCTCAGCCCATCTACTATCTACCTGCCTATAGCACAGCAATTTGACTCTTGCTAAGCTACCTCCCTAAGTGGGTAGGAGGCTGTTTCTCTATCATGCGTATCTTTCTGAGAAAGGTGGCTTGCGGGGCCTCAGTGCTTCATTGAGGCCTTAGCCATGAGGTGTTCATTCCTGGTCAGTGATAGATAAAGTAGCTTATCGATGAATCTGGTTCATCAGGAGAAAGCACCAAGACACAGATAAAACTCTATCGGAACAGAGTTTATTAGCAAAGGAACACATGGGACATTCCCTTCCGGGCAGAGAAAATATCTGCCCAGGTCGTGAGCTGGGGTCTTTTTTAAAAGGGGGAGGCTTCTGGGAGGATGCAGAAGGCGGGAAGATATATTTTTTTAAGTTGGATGGGGGGAAGTGGGAGAGAGGGACTGTTAAAACATGTCCTCTTTAGAGATCAAAGGGGAAGCCTGCTTGTGTTGGCCAAACAGTGGAGAAAAGTCTGCTTCTCTTGACTTCAAAGACCAGGGTTTTTGGAGGCCCCTTTTCTCAGGGGCCTCCTGTTGGTGAGGGGGCGGGGCCATCTGAACTGTAACAGCCAGAGTGACCTTGGGCAGTCTGGCCAGAAAGAACTGTTTCTTCTTTGAGTCTCTTTGCTCACTGGCTTGTTTGGTCATTGGCAGTATTCACAGAGTCATGGTCCCTGTCCTAAAGGACTTGAGGGGCTACCTGGGCACATTGTACGGATATATGCCTGTGGCTACAGATGTGGACATTGCCTGGAAGGACAGGAGATGGGAGGTAAAGGTGATGGAGGCAGAGGAAGAGACAGTTTTAAGAGCTGGGTCAGGGTAGAGGCATGCCTGGGCATGTCTGAGTGTGCACATGTTTGTGTGCATCTCATATACGTGTATCCATGTGTGTGGTTAGAGGCTGGGCACCACAGAACTGTCTGGAAATTAAGGTGGCCACTGTGGGGCCTAGGAGTGGAGGACGTGGAGGCTGGGGCAGGGCAGGGCCATGCAGTCCCATCTTTACCAGGTCCTGTCCTGTTCTCCAAGCACTCCTGTGCTGGAGATCACTAGGCTCAACATGTAGCCTGGGTGGCAGGTAGGTGTCTCCTCTATGGGGAGAATCTGGGTGCATTTGGGTATCTAGGCTTATAGGAAGGCCTGGCCCACAGAAGAAAGCCATACTTGTTTATGCAGAGCCAGTGGGGCCCCTGAAGGGGCCAGTTCTACCTGAGGCTTTGCTGCAGGATCACCAACAACTATGCCATCTTCTGTGGAAGCCATTCTGTGTGAGCACTGGCATCCTTGCAGCCATATTCCATCTTGTAGCTGTTATTTGTTCTCCAGGCAGGGCCAGAGGAACCTGTTAAAGTCCATACTAATGCTGGGTCTGTGAGCAGATTAGGGAGGGTGTGAAAGGACAGCCCTAGCCAGATTGAGCTGCATGCTGGGCAGAGCTGGGCCACTGTGAACCACATGCCCAGGGCCCACTTATCTAGGGATCCTGAAATTGCTCCCCATAGAGCTGGATGGCTACTCAGGCCACACCAACCACTGCCAGCTGCACAGTTGTAAGGGGAGCAGGAAGGCTGTTTTCCTAGTAGTTACAGTATCTAGGAAAGAGAGAGGCTGCCCAGAGCCCCACAATGACAAGGGGAAGTATAGCCTGCCAGCACAAGACTGCACCCTGTTCAATCAGTGGTGGCTGTCATTGTGCTCTGACACCTGAGCTTTCTGCCTGTCAGTCCTGTAGACACCTACTCTGTCTTTCTGTGCACCTGAGACACCAGTGGTCTGATGCAGTTTGCACTAGCATGGAAGCTCCCCCTGTCCCCAGACTATTGCTCTGCTTCTTGCCCCAGTGTCTGTCTTACATGGTTTGAATGAACCTGGGATAGCTGACACTGAGCAGATCTGCTGGTTGTCTGCTTTTGTGTCAGCTACCTCAGGGAGACACCGACTTCCTGGAGGACAGAGGCAGCCAGTGTTACTGTCCTCTGAGTGCTCAGGGCATGCTATGTAGCTCTGGGGATGTTAGGTCTGGGTCTGAGTCATGACCCTGCTACAGTCTAGCTGAGGAACATGCAAGGACACAACCACTGAGTGCCAGCTTCCTGGGCACAGAGCTGCGTGAACTGGTCTTTGGTACCAGTCCCTTTCCCTTCTGAATATTGGAGTCCTAGGCCGAGCCATCCACCAACTCTGTCTGATGTCATTTTCTTATCTGACCCTCTAGTATGCCTGGGTGGAGAAACACTTTGGTCCTGACTTTCTGGAGCAAATTGTGCTGACCAGAGACAAGACTGTGGTCTCTGCCGACATTCTTATTGATGACCGACCGGATATCACAGGCAAGTGGCCTGTGGCGTGACAGGGGAGGTGGGCAGGGAAAGGGCAGATACTCATGTTCTCCCTTCTCCTAAGTAGCAGCTTCTTCACTCCAGTGCCCACCATCACCAGGTGTTTGTCAGCACCCATGGGAGCATCTTCCTGTTAAGATGAGGTCCTCTGCACCTAGGGTGAGGGTGCTACTGGGAGTCAGGAAGCTCAGGCCCTAGACTGCAGCTTAATTTGTTGACCCTCCTGAGTGAAGTGAGGACCCAGCTCTGATTATCAAACCTTTATGTTTAGTAACAACCCCCTGCCCTCTTTTTTTTTTCCTTTTCTCCCTCAAACATAGTTTAGAATGAGTCATATATATCAGGAAATTACGGTATATTTTCTGTTGCTGAAAATGGCTTGGGAATTTATTTGTCCTTTTGCTTCCAGCTGCCCCTTTCCTAGAAAACAATCTCTTTTAAAAGAGAGGAAATTTGCCAAGCATGGTGGCACAGGCCTTTAATCCCAGCACTGGCAGGTGAATCTCTGAGTCCCAGGCCAGCTGGGGCTACAGGGAGACCCTGTCTCAAAAAATAAAAACAGAAACAGAGAGAGAGAGGGGGAGAGAGAGAGAGAGAGAGAGAGAGAGAGAGAGAGAAAAGAGAGAGAGAGAGAGAGAGAGAGAGAGAGAGAGAGAGAGAGAGAGATTCCCTCACATAGCTGAGAAGGTAAAGTCAGTGGTCTTTAGGCATGGTGGGATCTAGGAGTTCAGTCAGTCAGTCCACTCAAGTTCCTGCCTCCTGGATGTGTTCTGCATAGTTTTGCTACACCCATGGTCAAGCTGCTTCTTCCTGGTAGTCCTTAGGAGTTGCAGGGCGACACCCTATACAGGACACATTAGTGGGAAAACACTGTCTCCTAATGGTTTTAGAACTACCATGGGAAACATACCCATCCTTCCACCCCATCTCTGTCCAGCAGCGCATTCACTCTGTCTATTGAGAGGGGCCAGCCAGCCATGAAGTCTTCCAGAGGATTAGGGTGACATGATTCATGGAGCTCTGGCCACAGGAGTTAGTGGGTCACAACCCAAAGGAGCCTGTCCACCTGCAGCACAGTGTGAAGGGAGTGTGGAACTAGCACTTGTAGGGGCTGTGCCAGCCTGGGTTTCCCATTTGAGGCAGTTCAGGCTAGGCACAGAGGTAGCTGCCACCATGTGGAGCTCTTCCTGCATATTTCACTGAGCACCCTGTCTGTGCACATTGCCTTGTTTTTACCCTTCTACCCTTGGTAAGGTAGGTTAGTGGAACATCGCTTTGCAGACAAGGAAACTGAGTCAGATGAGGTGCAACCCCTGCCTGAGGATCTTAGGATTTGGCTCCAGGATATACCTGGGCCACAGCCTCTGAACGAGGTTCTGCTTCCCCCCCCTCCCCCCGCAGGGGCTGAGCCACACCCCAGCTGGGAGCACATCCTCTTCACCTCCTGCCACAATCGCCACCTACAGCTGCAGCCTCCACACCGCAGGCTGCACTCATGGGCGGATGACTGGAGGGCAATCCTGGACAGCAAGCGGCTCTGCTGAGAGTTGTGCTGTGGCTCCCCCACTGCCCAACATAGAGTTCACAGCTCACGCACGACTGGACAGCAAGTGGGCCAGCTGAGGGCTGTGCTGTGGCTCCCTGGCAGCTCCTGGAGAATCCCCACTGGACACCTCAGCCAAGATAACTTCTTGCCACATGTCCCCTCCTACCACCAGCCCAGCAAGGCCTTAATCTGATCTTGGGGCAGAACTGAGAGAAAGGCAAGTGTTCACAGGCAGCTGGGTAGGACCTCAGGCAGTAGCCCCAGGCTACCACCTCTCACTGCTTACAACAGAGATGTTCCCTGAGGCATTGGGGTACAGTAGCCCAGGGTCTGCAGGCTTTTCAAGGTAAGGAGTGCCAGGGACTGATGACAGGCATGCACCCTTCCACCTCTACCATGACACTTCATCCAACCTGCTACTCAGTCTTCTCTCTCATGGCACACTTAGCAGGTTCCAGTGGCTACCAGGCTGTGCTGGGGGCCAACAGTGACCCTGCCTATGGCCAATGCTGAGATATTTTGCTCACTGTCCCAAGGTCCCATTCAGGGACCAGTAAGGAGTTGGCAGAATGGAACATTTGTTGAACACATGAGAAATAAATGCTGTTCACATGTAGCCTGCAGTGTGGCCTTCTCTAGCACCTGCCCCAGGATCCTCTAGTATGCCAACTGCCTGTTATGTGTCTGGGAGTCCCATGCACTGACCAGCAGGATAGAGGTGGGCATAGCTCTCCTCTGTGTGCCTCACATGATGCCACAGGGGACAAAGGCAAGATGGTTCTGATGGTGGCCCAGCTGGCAGCTTGAATATCTTGCTTGGCCCACTCCACTTGACCTGGCCGGACTGGGCCTCCCTCAAGTACCGCTCTCCACCTGGCCCTACAGGTGGGGATAGAGTCCCTCCTCTGCTCTTCTCCCACAACCAAGTTCCTGTAAGACCTTGGACCTGCTTTTACAGCCTCAGCTTTTGTGCCTTTTGAGCCCATGTGGGGGTGACACTTGATTCAGCTACCTTCCCACTGTCCTCCTACAAATCTGGGGGACCATGGCCTTGAAGACCAATTTCATTCTCAAAATCCCAATGGACATGGTGGCACATGCCTGTTTTCCCAACACGTTAGGGGATTGAGGCAGGAGTATTGCTGTGAGTTCAAGGCCAGCCTGGGCGACATAGCAAGACCCTGACTCAAAACACAAAGACTCAGCATCCCAGTTTGTCCCTTCTCTGAGCCTTCATTGTATGCCTTTCAGCATCTGTGAGAGGTAATCTTTTGGCTGTCTAGGGACACGGCCAGGTGGGGAAAAGAACAGCAGAGAGAACCCTAGTCCCAGAGTTGACAAGGATTTTCATTTCCCAGCTTTCAGCCTCAGCTCTATCACCCAGCCTAGGGAGGGAGGCCCTGGGCTCCACCACCCGGCCTGGACCATGGGCAGCTCTCTATAATACTACCCCATTGCAGTGTGTTATCCCTTGGACTGGGGGTGTGAGTGGGAGTCCCTTCATGGGAACGTGTGGCAGTTGTGTCATTTGGTCCTGAAGCTCGGGCAGGGTAGTGTCCAGTAAAGGTCTGACATGGGTCCCTGGGAGAAAGCCAGTTACTGGAATGTAGGCTTGGTGTCTGCTCTGGAGACCCTCTACTGCCCTGCACTTACTCCTGCTGAGGCCCTCTGAGCAGGGCCAGGAGACAATGTGACACACGGGATGGATGAGTTACTTCTCTGTGACTCCTGGTGGTAGACTTTTCTTTGCTGTCAGCAGCAGGTCCTGTTTATCATGTTTCCACATGACCCCCTGCTGCTAAGTGCCAAGTCTCCACTTAGACCCATTCAGGGCTGGTCATTCTGTGGCAATGAGGGTACTTTCTGTTGCTTGTGACCCTTGGGGATAAGGAGAAAGGATAGGGTCCATCATGTACCTACCAGGTGCCACAGCTTATGTCCGATCCAAGGACAGAACAGTAAACGAAGACCACTCAGCCTTGCCTTGAAAACATAATGACTATAATTCAGGGAGCAGAAAGCAGTGTAGCTCATTTCTATCCTGGTCCTGTTCTGTCAATTACAGACAACCTTGCTGAGATTTACCAGCCCTGTCTGGGTTTCTTCCTCCTACCTCCTGCTCAGGGAATCTCTGGACCCTGGACCCTTCATAGAAGGGCCTGGTGTCTAGCTCTAGTAATCCTTATACTTGTGCTAGGAATGCTGAGAATAGTGTCTACCAACCCCTGGGTGAACTAGGTGGGTAGAAGCACCTCAGAACACTCAGGAAGCACCATAGGGAAGTTCCTTCCTGAAGTTCCTCTGTCCTCTTGGGTCCTCCTCTTCAGGCCTCACTATCCTAGGGACCCAGCAGGGTTCCCAAGATGCTCAAGTACAACCCACACCCAATGAGGGTCAGATAGAAACATCACTGTGCCTTGTTGAGCTTTAATTACATCACTTGCTTTCCTTAAGAGCATGTCCTTGCACCATGGGCACTGCCCACTGGGGATGTGAAGAAGAGCAGTGCTGCCTCCCAGCCTCTCTCATGGAGTGGAGTGGCCGACTCCAGAGCGCAGCCCATCCAACATCAGATGTTGTCCTGCCAGGCCCCTTCAGCATGAGACTCCAAGCAAGTAGCCCAGGTTCTCAGCAGAATGGGCAGTGGGCCCCTGCCATGTGACAAGCATCTCCAGTGTCAAAGGCAACATGTCGCCACCTTGTGCCGTATCACCCTATGAGCTGGAGGTGAGGATGCCACAGGGCTCCTGGTATGGGGCAGTGCCAATAGCAGTTCTTTTTGATGGTGCTAAGGATGAACCCATAGCTTGGCACATGCTACACGGTAATCCACCATGGAACTCCCTCTCAGTCCTACCAATAGCAGTTTAGACCCTGGGGTTCCCTGGTTGAGTCTTATATTGGCTATCATGAGGCCATAGGCTCTACAATGAAATGTTCTTATTCACAAGGGACCCAGATGCAGGAGAGCAGAGAAGGAAGTCTTAACTCGGCCTAGCCGAAGCCCCAGTGCCAGCCTGTGTTGCTCCACACATTAATAGAGTGGAGGAACCTATTCCCTCAACCTGCCCTGTGTGCATTAAGTACAAGCTAGCAGATGCATCAGCAGCCTTGGGGACCTGCTTCCTTGCCTAAGCCTTGATGATGGCAGTGTTTTAGTGTAAAATGGGCACATCAGGGATAAGTCATTGCCACTCCTAATAAGCTGGTTGGACAGTTAGGGAAAGTATTGTCCAGGATAGAAGTCTGGGGGTAAGAATGAAGAGGTGATGGCCTGGGGTAGCTCCCATGTGACAGGAGGTGGCCTCTGGCCTCAAGTTGGTCAGAGAGCTTTAGAGGGGCCTTGGCTGAGTGGAGATAAGCTAGGCCCCTGTGAACTGTCCCCTTTAACCTGTGTTGGTCCAAAAGTGTGTGCTGGGGAGTTATGAGCAAGAGGACAGAAACTGCAGTAGGATCTCAGCAGCCTGGGGGCAGGCAGAAGCCAAGGGGAAGGCAGCACTGGCAAGCTGAGTTGGGCCTCTACTGGCCAGGTCAGGGGGTGGGAGCAACTCCTTACTTGACCTGCTCAGGAGCTAGCTGGGTAGCACACAGCACAGAAACCTCTAACCATAACCAGGTGATGAGACTAGGACCCCGTGAAGAAGCCAGCCCCTGACCCCATATCCTCCTTGGCAGGTATAATGGTTAGTATTGTCAACTTGACACCAAGGAGGCAAACCTCTGGGTACCTCTATGAGGGATTGTCTAGATTAAGGTTAGCTTTTGAAAATGTCTAAGGCATTGTCCTGTTTGCATTAATTGATGTGGGAAGATCCATCGTAGTATGGGTAGGACCAGTCCCAGGACAGGGAATCCTGAACTATATATAGAGGAAAGATGAGCACTAGCATGCATTAACTCATTGCTCTCTGCTCTTGGCTGTGGCTGTAGTGTGACCAGTTCTCTCAAGCTCCTGCCTCTGTGACTTCCTGCCATGACAGACTATAATCTGGAACTGAGCCAAATAAACCCTTTCCCTTAAGTTGCTTTTTACAAGAGTATTTTAACATAGCATCAGGAAAAGAAACTAAGAAATTGGTAACAGGAGTGAAGTTGTTGCTGTGGTAAACCTGACAGTGTAGATTTTATCCCTTTGGAACTGTTTTGTGGGAGGAATTTGGAGGAGTTTGGAACCTCGAGCTAGAAAAATTATTGAATGTTGTAAACAGAGCTTAACTTGCAATTGTAGTTGGAGCTTAGAAGACAGTAAATGCTGAGAGAAATGTGGACAGTGGAGATCCAGCTTACAGCATTTCAGAAGGGACCAAGGACTCCATCAGAAACTGTGACAGGGACCATTTGTGTGATATTTTGGCTGAGAATATGGCTGTATTCTGCCCACATCCTGAGAACGAGTGAAGTTGAACCAAAGGATAACGGATTATTTTGGTTGACAAAGGAGAGGTATATGGGCAAGCTAAAACTTTTAGACAAGGAATATAAAGGCAACAAAGCTGTAACTGTTAGTGAGATTAGCACCATTAAAAAGAAACATGGCACTCTGCACTGGGGCAATAGGAAAGTGTATCTTCAGGGTCAGCACACAAAAACTAATACAGCTGTGGTCCAAAGGGGCTATGGCTACATCTCTAGCTGTTGGTGTTGGGGTCCACATGGTACTGGTTTTCAAGGCATGAAAGATGTGAGATTGAGGGAGTCATGGAGAGAAGTTGAGGCCAGGCACTGTGTGGTAGTGTTGGAGTTCCTATGGAGAGTCCCTGAGAAGCTGCTGTGTGACGCTGCGAAGGTGAAACCTGAGTTGCACTGGAGACCCCAGGATATTGGAGATGCCAGGCCTATGGAATATCTGTCAAGGAGAGCTGCCCATATGGAGTTGAACCAGCCTAAGAGAGAGAATCTGTGTGTGCTTCAGGTGGCAGCGTTGAGGAATGGGCCTACCTGAGCCTTCTGCAGCCCAGTTGATTACATTATAAGCCCCTTATTAATGACTATGGGAACTTTTAAAGTGAATTTTTACATTATGAATGTAGATTTTTATGTGGTGAATGGTCGTGAGCCAGTGGCAACAAGGAGTAGAAGGCTATGGCTGAAAGGGATGTGTTGGGAGGTCATGTTGACGAGGGGTGGAGCTGTGATGGTTGGTGGCAATTGTTGGCTTAGGCAACAAGCCTCTAGGCACACCTGTAAGGGAGCTGATAGGTGAAAGTCTCAGAGAATGTCTGGGAGGGATTGTCTTGATTATGTCAATTGATGTGAGAAGATCATCTCAGTTGTGGGCAGGACCGGTTCTTGGGTGGGAATCCTGGACTGTCTGAAATGGAGAGGGCAAGCTGAGCACCAGCATGCATTCATTCCTCTCTTTTAACTGCAGATGTAATGTGACCAGTTGCTTCAAGATCCTGCTGCTTTGCCTGCCCCACCATGATGGACTGTGATCTAGAGCTGTGAGCTAAATAAACCTTTCTTCCTTGAGTGGCTTTTGTCAGTGTTTTATTACAGTGATAGACTCTAGGTAACAAAGTAAGAGTGATGTCATAAGAGCAGAGGGGGTGCCAGACCCCCAGAGTCGGGGCTGGGAACAGACCCAGTGTTTCACCCAAAGAGCCCAAGTTAGAACCAAAAGACTTCCTTGAATTGGAAGAGGTTGAGCTACTTTTACTACCACTATTTAGCTACAGTGGCCAGTGGTAGGTGCCAGGAACTGGGAACTGTACACCTGAGTATAGTGTGTACATGTGGGTCTTGTCATGTTATCCCTTCCCTTAGCCAGTGTGGTACTGTCACACCCAAGAAGCCAGTACTCAGGCTAGTTGGCTGACAAATCCAGGCCACCCAGTAGGTGGGGGCATGAAGGACAGGAGGGGGCTTGGCACCCAAACCTGTAGCAGAAGTAGGGAATTGGCTCCAGCATCTGGGGGGCGGGGCATCTGTTGTCGCCAGTGACTTGCTAAGCCTCAATTTCCTCAGCTAGGAAACAAGAGTTGATCAGTTTCCATGAGAAAGAGTAGAAGGAAATAGGAACATTTGTCCCCAAACATTGCTGCTCAGTAGAGGAAGCAGACTTCCTGTGTGAAGCAAGGTCCAGGTCTTTGCAAATGGGAGATTCCTTCCATGGGCACTGTCCTAGTTTGGCCACCAGGTGGCAGCCTGGCCCCTTTCGGTGGGGGCATTGCTGACCTGAAGGAGGTGAGCACCAGGCCAGCCAGCTGCTGAGAAAGAATCAGCAGTTTGGTTCCTTCTGTCCTTTGCTGAGAGTACTGCGGACAAAGGCCCAGCCAGGCAGAGGGCCAGATCCTGTCTACCAGGGGAGGGGGTTTATCCCAACCTGCTAGTCTAGCCTGAAACTTCAGATGCCCATGTCCCACAGGACTTCACAGAAGCTGGAAAAGAAACAGTCACTCTGTTTCTGACCGAGGAGCCTGTGCGGGTCCCAGCTCATGTTGCCTTGTATCTACAATGACTGTGTCAATGATCCTGCTCAGCCTGGCCCTCAAGGTCAAGTAGACTTGCCCCAGCCTCCACCTCTCAGGTACTCAGGGTTTCCTGGAGCTTGAACTATCTCCATGTACTTGTACTGCTCTTTGCTTCTATTTCCTGGGGAAATTTCTGTGCTGGCCAGCCCTTCTTCCCCACTCCATAGGAACGCAAGGTTGGCTGGGGCCAGCTGCAGCATCTATAGCTGTTATAGTTACTCAGACTTGCCCAGGCCCGGGGCCTGGGCTGAGGATGATCTACAGGCTTTATGAAGGACAAACAAGGGTGAGCCAGAGCAGTGGTTTCCCACAAAAATGACCTTTCCTGATTCCCTCAGGACCCTGAGTCAATGTGTGCTAGCAAAATGGCTAGCTTCTGCAGTGTTGTGGGTGGAGCCCAGGGCTCCATGAATTCAAAAAAATGCTTGGCCACTGAGCTATAGCCCCAGCCCATAGAATGACTCCAAGGCTACCAATGTATGCAAATAGTAAGCAAACTGCCTGCCCAGTGAACATTTCTTACTCTGTTTGGTTGGAAAGAAACCCTTAATTAGATTTGCCATAGCTGTCTTGGATGTGTAGGCTGAAATCCACAGAAGGCCAGAAATAATCAGGCTACTTTAAAAAGTAGAGAATGGCAGCACTTACAGGAGTTGTGGCCTATGATGCAGAATCCAGGCATCTTTTTTTTTTTTTTTTTTTTTTTTTTTTGAAAAGGAAAAAATGAGAATGGCAACCCTTTCAGGAGGTGTGGCCTATTAGTCAGAAATCCGGCATTTTTTTTTTTTTTTTTTTGTCTTTTTGAGACAGGATCTCCCTGTAGACCCAGCTATCTTGGAACTCCCTACATAGACCAGGCTGGCCTTGAACTCACAGAGATCCGCCTGCCTCTGCCTTCCTTTACTGTGCTGGGATTAAAGGCGTGTGCCACCACGCCCAGCAAGTCCAGACATCTTAACTAGACCTTCTATTATTACTGGTCAGGTTTTTTCCTCTCCAGGGAAACAAATATTACAGGGCTGTAGTTCAAAGAGATGGCCATAGGATGGTGCCAGAGCACTGCTTCTGGCTCCTTGGAGTCCTGGGCAGGTAGTTCTAGACCCAACCTTCCCACTCTTGATGT